AAAAAAACCAAAAAGCGAAAAAAGGAAAAAAAATCCTTGGTAACAGAAAGCGACGAGCAACCCCTTTGGACCGGGACTGTGGATGAAAGTTCAGTGCCACCCCCAGCATCAGAATCAGCAGCATTTTAATTCGAATTGGTATTGCTCTGGCACTGTTATTGTTGTTTTGTGTCCTGGCTTACTGCGAGTTCTTGTGGAAGTAACCCTCGCGCTGTTTGGTTTCCATTTGATGCTGATAAATTGTGAGCCGGTCGGGTGGGTGTTAAGGATTCGCCCCAGAGCGGAAGTTGCATACAACGCATAATTTGATAAAATATTGCACGCTTTTCTTTGTCTGAAAGTGATTATTATTTCGTTTCGTTTTTTTTCTCGTTTGTGTTTCAGTTTCTGTTTCTGTTTCTGGGTTGCTGGAGCGCATACATATGATGAACATTAGATGTAATCAATAAAAGCTCGACGCAATCCATTCAGTTCAGCTAATGGATGAGAAATCCTATCAAATGGGGAAATCAAATTTCGTTCACGGGCCTCACCCTGTCGCGGCATTTATCCTTTTTTTCCTGGTCATGTTTTATGTGTGACAGAGTAATTATTTAGAGTGTCAAGTCAGGCGTAAGGGTTTAGATTAAAACAAAGCGAATGGAGCTCTTTACAGCACTTTTGGCGTGGTTACGGGCACTGTCACAAATAAACTATTTAGCCGAGATCCTTGCAGCGCAAAAGTTCATCCTCCTGCCGGCTAATGGCGAAAGCACATCAAGCCTGTCAAACCGGAAATATACGATAAATATATCTTCATTCAGTTGCTTATTGCAAAGACACAGCACATAAGACTTCGCCGACGATTTCCCAGGCGTACAATTGACACATTTTTGTATTTCGTTGACGTCTGCCAATAAAAATAACGAAATAAAATATGGGCCGAGTGAAGTGTAGTGGAGTGGAGTGTGGCAAGTGCACGGAATGGTGGAGATTGTTACCTTGAAAACGATACGCTAGGGAATCATTAGGGGCACGTCAGGGGCTGCTGCCATAAATATTGGCAATAGGACGAAGAGCCCATCGATAATAAGGTTAGAAAGCCATAAACCCAAAAATCAACAAAATCTCCAAAGGGGATTCTCTGCCGAAAGGCAGAAAGGCTCTTCATAAATGTGCCAAATTGGTTTTTCCACAATAAAATGCTAATGATTGATTCACATTGCCCCATGGTGGGCCGTTAGTTGTGCCCGGTTCCGTATAGCTCCGTGGACGCCATGGATTCCATGGCTTTGTCTAATTTGTGCAAACCCGAAAACATTAAATTGGGGTTTCGTTTGGGTCTCGGGGCTTTTGCATTTGTAATTTTCCAAATAACAAACATGGAGAAAGGTTCAACTCGACTGCCAAGTACCTCTTGGGCTTCCAAATTCTACTAATTTGAATTCCAGAACTCTTTCGATAATGTTATTAGGCAACTTTTTGAGAGGCTTTTGTGCCCTCAGTGTGTCATAGTTCGAAGACTAATCATTAACCCTCGACAACCCCTTGACGGGATTGCGAGGTACGAGGCAAAAAAATCTCTCTTCTGGCCAGTTACAATTGGTCCGCAGTGCGGAACCTAAGCTAATGATGACTGGCATGCACAAATGTACAAATCTTAATTATGCAAATCACGGTCGCGCATAAATTATGCAAATTATAATGAAATTCCTCATGGCCGGACTCGGGAAACCCGGGATCCGGAATCGGGGGACCCAGGGACCCGGGGACGCCCGGACCAGCGACAAATGCCCATCTATATGTATATGGATTGATAAAAATGTGGCCATAAAATGAAAAAACCGAAAATTTAAATTCGTCCTGCCCGTAGGCCTGGACCGGGGTTGAAAAGTCGAAATTATTTTGGTGGCCTGAGTGGAGGGCCGTAAATTGCAATGTAAATGCTGCATATAAACCGAATTAGTCCCAGAACAATTAAAATAGGGTAGAGTGCTCAGGGAGGCAGGGTGGTGTGGTGTACTCCGTACACTGCAACTGCAAATCTTGTCAAAAGCCAATCCCCGAAATCGCAGAGCAAATGGTGCATTGCCTAGAGGGTCTGTCCAGATTCCGGATTCCATTGAAAATAATGGCATACGGTTGCCGGTTCTCTGGCTTTTTCTGTCTTTTCTACGAACATCTGACACAATAATTCCCCTACTTTAATGTGGCCCGAGCCAAAGGAAAAACAAACAAGGGAAAATGGTAAGTTGCCAACGCAAATTATTAAATTTATTATGCGCGAAGTCATTAGGTCTGTCGCCTGTACTCTCAGTTCGAGTTATTCCAAGGACTAAACGGCGCACTCACACATAAATATCCTGGGATGCTGGCAAGTCTGAAGTGTGGAAAGTCATTAGTGGCCATTGCATGTGACAGCCAGTAGAGATGCTTTTATAAACTATTTCTAGCTATAAAGTCTTGGCCATAAAACAATAATAGTTGTATTATAGAGAATTTTCTTAAAGGGATTGAAATTCTTTAAAATAAGAAAAAAAGTGTCTTGTTAATTGGAAACCACGTAGCGAAGCAAAAATAATAAAGTATAAAAATCTGCAGAAAACCTCGGCATTCGTTTGAAAACTTCCTTTGTTTATTCTAAATATGAAATACAAGCAACGAATTTTTTAGTTTTGAATGTAAGCACCACAACGCTAACAGGACTATGTAAAAAATTCTAAAATTAAAACATAACGAAATTGGATATACTCTCTTCTATATTTTAAAAATTAAATAAGGGGATATGAAAATATGGAAGGTTAATATGGAAGACCTTCAACAATGTTTATATGATTAATGATTTTTATTAATATTATTAATGTCCTACACCACTTTAGATCAAAATCCAACTATTATAATGATTTTTAATGCATACTTTATGAAAGCTTTTCAAATGAAAGGACATCCCAGATTCTAGGAGGTCCTTCTCCTAGGGTATGCGCTAGGCAACGAAAATATTTGGCATGTGCCATTTATGGCATTGTTCCAAGTTGGAACAATGCGATACCATAGTTTCCAGGCAACTCTTGAGCGCACACACTCGCAAAGAATGCCTCGCCGTGCTATGCCATGCAGATGTGGCATCCACTGGGCCATGCCACACACACATACATGCACAATAGTGTGGCAGGAGTTTGATGCACGGGCTGTGTTCAACCCCCAAAGGCTATGGGCGAGCCGAACTCGGTTCCAGGACCAAAAAGGCGACGGGCAAGGATCAGCAGGCAGTGAGCATGTGATTAGATTCAGTTTCAATGGAAATTGAAATCATGGACAAAGGAGAGGCCATGAGGTTGCCGGTGGAAGGGGCGGGCCGGGAGGAAGCTGGGGGGTTGGCAGGACAGCACAGGGCCATCAGGGTTGAAAAGGAGCGAAGCGATAAAAATCCCAAACAACAAGAGAAATGAATTTTCGGATGTCCGTGGCAGGGCATTAAAAACTTTTTACACAGAAAAAAATTCCCTAAGACTAATAATATTCTCTAGTAGTATTAATATTTCTTAGAACGTAAGAAGGGTAAAACCAAAAGCCCATACTTTAATTAAAAATATTTAAACATTTTATGAGAGACCATATGAGAGACCTCACTAAGACCATTTTATGAGAATTTATATAATACTCTTTTAATCCTTTACCACAGGTTTTTTTGCCAGTGCATTGATTCTGACTCATCAGGTTTTGTGCGTATTGGTATAAGAGCAGTGGCGGATCTAGGGGGGGGCGAAAGGGGCAAGCGCCCCGGGCGCCAAGTCCCGAAGGGGCGCTAAATCGAGCTCGGCTAACACTGTATGTTTCGAGAATTCATCCCTTCAGTACCATACCTCAAGGATTACTGAAGGAATCGTCTAGGTACTAGTATTGCCACCCGAGGAATCCTCTAGGTATGTTTCATACAAACCATCAAGGAATTTCCATAGAAGAGTTCCTCACATCGAGGAATTCGAACAACTCGAGGAATACTGCACGATTCCTGCAGTTATTCGAAGAGTATTTCGAACTAAATACCCCAGGGAATCCCTGAGGTATACTCTGAGGAATCGTTGAGGAAATACCTCAGGGAATCCCTGAGGTATACTCTGAGGAATCGTTGAGGAAATACCCCAGGGAATCCCTGAGGTATACTTTGAGGAATCGTTGAGGAAATACCCCAAGGAATCCCTGAGGTATACCGTGAGGAATCTTACGGGAATTCAGGTGGGATTCATAAGGGATTCACTGAGGAACTGTAAGGATTTTCACCCCCCCCCCCCCCCTTTCCAACCAACCTTTCGTGTGAGCGATCGTTCAGTAAACTGAAACTAATAAAATCTTATCTCCGCACAACCATGAACCAAGACAGGCTATCAAACTTGGCAATACTTTCCATCGAAAATGATGTAGCAGCATCACTCGATTACAATGATATTATTGCTGAATTTGCGGCAACCAAGGCCAGGAAAGTTATATTACAGAAGTAATATTTTGTTTTCATACAAAAACACAACATTTAATGTATTTTTATGATGCATCTAACGAAAGAATAAAAATGAAATATAATTCTTCATACCTATAAGCTTTAGATGATATAACCTTTTACACACCCAAAATACTTTGAATTTTATTCATATAAAAAAAAATTAACGCGTTCATATAGCAGAGAGGGGGGGGGGGCGCAAATTTTTCGTTTTGCCCCGGGCGCCAGCAATTCTAGATCCGCCACTGTATAAGAGTGGCACACGTATAGGTGTGGATGCTGCATTATGAGGCACAACCACTAAACGTCAACCACCCGACCCACATTTTTATGTAGTGCTTCATAATATTCCTTCTGCAGACCGAGATTAACACCAAACGGCGACGGTGGCGTCGGTGGCAGGAATAAAAGCAAAAAGGATATTTATAATCGACGGCAGCGCTGCGCCAGCCCCAGAGAGAGATAGAAGACACACACACAACCAGACAGAGAGAGAGAGAGAAAGTGAGGGTGTGGAGACGCGAGTGAGTGAGAGGAGAAAATCGGAAAATCGTTATGCGACTACTATAACCCACCACAAAATCGCGGTCGCCTCTGTTGTTGCCGGGCACCCCACACTCGCACATCGAATCTGAATCCGAATCTCGTCCAGAAGCAGGACCAGAATCAAAAACCGAATTCCGGGCCAGCATCAGAACCAAAATCCTCTGACACGGCGGCCGCAGTTTCATATTTTTCCCCATTTTGTGGTTCGTGCTATTTTCGAAAATATACATAAATTCGCAAATCCCCAATTTCCTTCGCCTCCCGTCTCCGTCACACCTCATCGGATCAGTGATTTGTGGTTTATTTTAATGCATAATCCTTAAAGTGTGTCATAAATTAAACAATAAGCCAGAGGTACGGCTTCAGTGATTTTTCATATCTTAATAAGCGATTTCACGGTTTAAATTATTTTGAATATACAGCGGCTTAGTGTTCGTAGTTTCTTTAAAAAAAAAACATTTAAATGCGGAATTTAGATTAAAAAAACTTTACTTAAAGCTTTGTATATGCCAAATAATTATTATATATTTTCAAACTATTTTAAAGTTTCTGGTTTCTAGTTAAATTCTTCAATATTTCTTATCTATAAACCATTATCTAAATATTTAAAAGTTAATAAATAGTGTGAGATGGTCAAAATCAGGCACGCCACCTATGAGAGCATTCGCAAAGCTGCAGCTTCCACAAATCGCCGCATACTGGCGCCACTTATCAGCTGAGACTTTCCACCCCTATTTCCACATCCTTGTATATCCTGAGCAACCCTGTCTGTTGATAGCTTCCTGCGACACAAGGACTACCCTAAAGCATTGCACATCTCCTCGACCTTGTCCTTTCAGAGTCTGCAGGAAAATAAGCAGGAATGGATCCCTCGAATCTTCCTTTCGGATTTCCCGGTCTGCCCAACCACGGACACATGCCCATTCCGCCCACGGCCAACATGCTGGGCGCCCACCCAGCCCCCACCGCCAGTCCGCCGCAGAGCGTCCCCGGCCGTCGGACGCCCCTGGGCTCTGTGGGCCTGGGCGGCTTCTATGCCCAGGGCATGGGCATGTCCCAGCCGCCGACTGATGAAAACAAGCCGGGTCCCAGTGCTCCGGAGAAGTCGCTGAGTCCCACGGCGGCCGCAATCGCTGCCATCAGCGGGGGCACCACCACAGTAGCTGTGCCGAGTGGCTCCGGAGGCGGTGGGTCTGGGCCAGGTGGCTCCAACGGTGGAAAGCAAAAGAACCGACAGGGAAAGACCGTGAGGCTGAACATCAATGCCAGGGAGCGACGGAGGATGCACGATTTGAACGACGCCCTGGACGAACTGAGGAGCGTGATTCCGTATGCCCACTCCCCGTCCGTGAGGAAGCTGTCCAAGATAGCCACTCTACTTCTGGCCAAGAACTACATACTGATGCAGCAGAACGCCCTCGAGGAGTTGAGAAGGTATGGCTACTACTAGTCCTGGCGAATTATCATATTCATCCCACTTCCTTGCCTTTCAGACTCCTCGCTTACATACAGAGCACCACGGGGGCAGCTCCTCTGGACCTGGGCTCGTTCCCGGCCGCCGCCAAGCTGCAGGCTCTGCTCCAAGGACCTCACAACGAACCGCCCACCAGCAGCAGCAGCTAAGCCCCGAATCCTAAAAAGCAATCGACGAGCAATAATTTTTAAGTCAATTGGAGGAAGGCCAAAGTCAATAAACTAGTCAGAGAGGTCGCAGAGTGGTAGGGAGAGTTGGAAAAGCCAAGTGAAAATCTGTTAAGTGATATTTATTTTTGTCGTAAGCATTTCTTTTTCGCGCATTTACATAATGTCATAAGAACCCCAATACCAATAAAGTATTAATTCCGATTTGTAGAATCAAAGCCCTGCCCACTGAGAAGACTGCAGCGTCATAAAAACACAATAATTTAATTCTAGATCCGTTTCAAGTCTTATAAAGTAGTTTACATGATAGTATAGTATAGATGATTTGCTGAATGGCATTTTATGAGGGCGAATGCGAAAGCAGTTTGCTGAATGCGAAATAAGCTGCTGATTAAAACTAGACACAAAATCGACAAATACTCTAGGAATATATATGCATTAGAGGACGGCGGCGGAAGCGATCGATTGGTAGATCGGCTGACACTATTCCGGAATGCCCGAGGACAGAACCTTGTTTTTGCCGGTGCGGAAGATGCGCTGCTGGACCGGAAGCTCCCCTATCAGAAAGTGTTTCATCTGCTCGACAGCGTCGCGGGAGTGTCCGGTGCCATGGAAGGCGATGGTGGCGTCCCGACCAGCGTGGTCCATGATAACGTCGTCGCCACCGGGGTGCTCCCTCAGGAAGTGGGTGACGTCGTAGACCCGGTCGTAGATCACCACCCAGCAGTCGTCGAAGCTGTCGTGCTGGGCCACCTCCTCCAGGGTGATCTCCGGCAGGACCTCGACCGCCTTCAGCCTGTCTTTCTCGCTGGGCACGACCATTACTTTGGAGACCTGCTTGCCGTGTCCCAAGGGCACGATGCGGAGGGATTGCAAGAGGTTTGTCAGAGCCGACGACATGACTTTCACTTTGCTATTATTTGTTGTGTTTATGCTGCACAGCGTGTTTTGTAATTTCTGCACCCACCGGCACTTGCTTCTCAAACACAATCACCTCAGACAGTCTGGAGTCGAGTGAGTTCCGCTCGATCGGTTTCGGTTTCAAGTTCCAGTTTTGCTCAGATTGCCCCGAGAAATCGTGTGTGGCTTGGGCTGCTTGTGGCACTGAAGTGTCATTCATGCGTCGATCTGTAATCGTTTTATAAACGCCAACACGTGAATCAATCGTACCCATCGAGGAGGCTGATAAGACTTCGTGGAACCAGAACCCGAAGCCGGATCGGTTAATACGTGGGGCTACGCAAGAGTAGAGCTGAGCAAACTAGTTTTAATCAATATTCATGGGAGGCCCGCGATTCGGACCGAGATTAGGTAATAAAACTAGCCACGAGTAAAAAAGTTGAGTCAATTTCTTAGCTGCACTGGCAGATGAGCACTTTTTCAAACTATGCGTCTTCTCAGTGAGCTAATTACCTGAAGCCCCATTAATCCCCATAATTGGGCTCATAAATCTATAATAAAAGCGAATTTCCGGAGGAGCTTATCAGCATTGCAGTTGATTTATTGGAGCAAGTCAAGTGTGCACCGGAGAATCAATTTCGTTTACGCAAAACAATTTAACGCCAGTCATTAAATAAGTAAAAATTCGTTTTGGGTTAATAGCCTGCAGTCTATTATATTTATTTCTAAATGTGGTGCTTACTCTCAATACTTCCATGACCCATAATGGAAACAAAGATTGTGCCTCAAACCATTATCGCCGAACACTTTGAACTTGAAACTGGTTGGAAATCGGTGCCACACTTCTGAACTCTTTGAACTGTCTACATATTTAGATTGAAGAGAAGTGCAAAAGCTAATACAAGTTCTTACGAATGAAAAGGGCTGATGAAATTAATCGGATCATTTAATAGGCGCCAGACAAAACGCAATTAAGAGTACAGACATTGTAGTTATAAATAAAATGCAAAGCTAAACTAAAATGATACAACGACATCAACAAATATTGTTATTTGCCACGTTTCCAACTAAATATTATTCACACATCGAAGACGTCACAAGTCAATTGTTATTGAAAAGTATTATTTTCAATAGGTTCAAGTGCGATGTGCGGTTTTCGCATCTCTTGGAAATCTCGGAAACCCAATACCCCCCAAGTCAGTGTTAAGATCAGCATGATTACGTTCAAAACCACACTAAATTATAATGTAATCAAAAGTATTACGAGATGGGAATCTGGGTTAGGCCACTTGACTTTGACTTTGAGGTCAGAACTGCAGTCTCATACGTATTAGGATTAATCGTAAAGCCATCAAATTATGCCTGGGAATCTGAATGAGATTAAAAAAAGAAATTGCGTACAGTCTGAACCCCAAATTTGAGGTTATCAGCAATTATTTGTCATGACTCGGAAACATGTTTTAGCTTTTTTTTGGACTAAGGCGTATTTCGTTTACTATCAGTTTAGTCTCACAAAATGTAGGCGTATGGGATCGAAGTTTATGTTGCTCAAATTCCCCCGGATTTGGATTTGAAGAATTTTTGCAAAATGTATAGATTAGTCTTTAGACCTTCGAGAACATTGCCAAGTACATTGCCAAGTCCATGGCCATTAATGAGGCTCAACATAATTTAAATTCTATCAAAAATATATTGGGGAATAGTGTATTGAGATTAAAATAATTGTGATGACGCTAGTGACAAAACTTTCGCATATTTAAGGCACATATGTATAAATTCAACTAAAAGTATAAAATATACTTGAAATAAATTACTTTAAAATTTTATAATAATAGTAAAATAAACTTTGATGGTCATTGGAAAGAGTTTTTCCATTTAAAAAGCGTTTTTTGAGATTCTTAGCCAACTGACAGTTTTATTTACCAGGTGGCAACGTCAAAGACGCCTTTTATCCTCGAAAAGCTTATTTGAAATGAAGCTTTTAGCGGGAAACGCTAGCTATGAATCATTTGTGAGTTCGCGGGCTTTTGGAAAATGAGCCAGCTGTTGCTTGTTGGAGAGCTTTCCCTGAAATGGGTTCGAAAGGAATTAATTGCATATTTATGCATTTGGTTGAAAGTACCGGATATTGATAGTTGATAAATAATTTATATGAAATAAGGTCCTATAAGGCCCATTTTCCTTAAACCAGAGGGTGTAACGTACTTTTCCAAATCGAAAGCAAAGTCTCCCGCTTCCTGTTTGCGTGAGTGTGCGTGTGCATTGGTGTAAGTGTGAATGTGAGTGTGTGGGTGATGGAACATGACATCGGGCCAACTGCGTGTAATTTTCGGTGAACAACAACACAGTCGAGTTCCAGCAACGCTCCGGCCAAGTTGTTCAAGCGCGTGAGCCTCAAAAACAAAAGCCAACCGCCTTCCTTATCGCTTTCACTTTGAGAATCCATTGAAATAATTGACCAGTGTGGAAAAAAGGATTATTGAATTACAAATTTATGAAAGCCCGTTAATAAGGAAATTGTTTTCGAAAAACTCGTTAGGCCTGTAAGCTCGCACAGTATGCGGGACTCGGTGTAGAGCAAATTGCGCATACGCCACGTTGGACCATCAAAGGATTTCGCAAACATATTGTTGCGGAAAATTGCATGCCGCGATTTGAATAACAAAATTGTTTGCTCACATTATTGCAAATAATCAAAGGGTAAGTGCTGACACAATCGAATGATTTATTTACCACTCCATTTGCATATGAATGTATTGAAAAATGTTTTTGAATCCAAAAGCCCGTCAAAACTTACGCAGTATATCAAAGAATATTTCATAAACTAAGGAATGATATGAGAAGCACTGTTGTTGAAATTTAATTGAAACTTTACGAGTCCATAGCCTAGGACTCTGTATAGTCAACCGAAGTTTCCCTCAAACTTTTATTGTAAAAGTTTGTCTTTTGAATTTTTATTCGGAAATGCTTTACTGAAAACGAGGGGTCTCATTTCCAGAGAAAGGTTCTAAGTGAAATTGTTGTGAAAGCCGATATGGCTGGGCAATAGAAATGGAAAACCAAAAAGAGAACTTAGTCTGTCATGTTTTTTTTATATATTTAAATTCAAGGGGAAATTTGACTTTTTTTTTAAGAAATAAGGATGGAATAAGTAGGTAAACGGCAGTTAATATCCATCAATTTTTCATATCGGATTTTCATCAGATGTGTTTGCTTTGGAAAATGAATTTTCGCATCACTTTGAGCACCCTCTTTACCTTTTTGCAGTTGATTACTGATTGAAGTGATTGCATTGCGTATACGCCCTGTGTGCAGTGGCTGTGAAGTATCTTCCCTGAAAGGAAAAGCGTATTTTAATTTAATTAGTCTGGCTCTTGGGATCTCTGCCGACATATGTGGATAAGGTTACCCAATTTGCCGGATTTTGTTTGAAAAGCCAGTAAGGATTTCCTCCGACATCGAAACAAGAAAAAAATTCCTTCCTCTGCCGGAGGCTGTTTAACCTGGCGGTGAGCCTGGGCGGTGAAGCAGCCACTCAAACACAACTGGCAGGTCCTTGAAATACCCGTAGCACGTAACCGTCACCGTGACCGTGACCCCCGACCTCCATTCCGGAATCCGAGTTTCGAATCGAGCTCATTTTTTTGCTGGTTTGCGACCTTCGTCTTACATTCTGGCGAGTGGAGTGTCGGGCAGGCAACAGGCTGCAATAGGGAAGTGCATTTATTATAGACGTCTTCGAGTGGCGCGGAGCCATGAATATTTATCACATGTCCAAAGATTAATGCATTTTTAATGCAAAAAACGTCGCCCATTCAGCCGCAGGCCGTAAAAGGCGGCTGGAAAAAGGAAGGAAATAATGAGGCCCGACAGGCAGCCATGTTTGCTAACTTGTTGAGTTATTGGCAGCTCTTTAGCCTCCGGCCCCCAATGGGCGGGCTCTCCTTTTGTTCCAGGCTCAAGTATTAATATCACACTTATTATTTCCGCAGCCCACATGCCAGTTTTCCTTTTTAGCAACATTTTTCGTGTGCGCATGTAAACATGTTACGGTGTTTACTCCTTGGACATTTTCAGCGTTTTAATGAGCGTTTTATTGTTTATTTTTATGCTCCCGCCGCTAGTCTGGGGCGCATAACTTTGGCTCACTTTATTAAATTACTGTTTATCTTGCCCGACCGGGGCTTTCTCGGCTTTTATTTTGTATTTTATTTTCAATATTTTCCTGGGTTGCCATGCCAGGGTCCCATGGTTTAATGGCCTGTGGCAAATTGACATATGGTTGTTGATTTTAATAGGATATTTAACTTTGCTTTTATTGCATGCGGGTATTCTCGTGAATTTTCAAATAAAGTATAGAAGGATTGTCAACAGTGAGGCCGAACAGCTCCTGGTTTTAACTCATTTTTATACATTATATACGATCCTCTGGGATTATCAAGATACTTATTCCATACCGCAAACTTTGAGGCAGCTCCAAACTTTTGCCCACCACGCACATCCTTTTTATCCCCGCCACAAGCCATATATATTCATTGATGGCTAATTAGCAAAGCCAGCCTCCCATTTGGCCCGCTGATCCCATTGACATTGGGGTAGCAGGACAAACAACTGCGGCCGCCATTGGCGGGAGATAATCAACTCGAATAACGAAAACAGGACATTCCGGAGACGGACAACAGTCCGGGCAGAAGGGGCTAGATGGACGATAATGATGTTGATGATGTGGATAAAGTTGTTGCCCGGGTCCGACTATGGCATTACAGCGAGTAGTACAAATTGCTGATGCCTGATTATTGACGGGCAGGACCTCTGCATCCGTCAGCTTCTAGAGGCCGGCCTTCGTCCTGGGTAAACAGCCACAGCTTGTTTATTCAGACCGAAGGTTGGCCTGGGGTGTCTGAATATAAAATTGCATTGGATGAGTTAAAGCCAAGCGCAGAGTGCAGTCGTGGGAGGACACAACCCAAAGGATCCCTGGCTAGCAGCCTTCATAAGTTTTATTCCACACCTGGGCTGTGCTAATGAAAAAGGACGAGAAATGCACATAAAAAGATAGAACCTTCTCATTGGATGAGCATTTTTAGTAGAAGTTAACTAGAATTTTGTATTTTTCCAGTACGAGTATGATTTGTTTCAGTGCATCCCATAGAAAACAGCCACAGAACGCTCGCTTTTGTGTTTTTTTCTGGTCACTCTCGTGTCCAACCCAAAGGACAAAGGCAACGCGCATCCTGGCGGACCTGATGTCGTAATATAATTACTCCTTCCTGAGAGCTGGGGTGGGGAGAACGATTTCGCAATGCCCTACGGCAGGAAGCGCTAAACAATGTGGAAGGATGCAGGAAGGATAAGGAAAAGTGCTTCCGGAAGTAGAGGAAAAACGATAGTTTAATGGAACTTCTTCAGTGGATTAATGGAGCCAGGTTTATCTTAAACGAGGAGCTTCCGTTCAATCAAACTGAATATGATTCGACATGGAGGTTTTTTGTCATTGATATGTGAGCACTTTGAATGGCTTTAATGGATTTAAGGAGAAGGGACAATAGACCCAAATTATATATAATTTTTTAGCCCAATTTCAAGCTCCTTTACAATGTCCATCTACCCAGCCCGGGGGATAATAGGGCATACGGCTGGCTGACAACTGCAATTGAAAAGCAGCAGGGCGTGAGTCCGTGTTCGGGTCTTTGAGCCACAAAACACTTCATTAGACTAATGAACATAATTTCCCGTAATTGTGCAATTCGAAGTCGCTGATGACGCTGAAAGGCATCTGTATCTATTTATTCCACTTTTTGTAACTTGTGGAATGATGAAATCGCCAGCCGGGCCAGAAGAAATCACGGGCATGAGCTGGCCTGGTCGAGGGCCCACGCTCACCCACCGTTTTCCCAGGCAGCCAATGAACCATGCGGCTGATTTTATCGATTAGATAAACTTAATTTTAGTCACTCTGTGTCAACACATTAACGACTTGCCATGTTCCTGGCCTTGACTTTGCCGCGGGCCGCGAGCCAAACAAAAGCGGCGAACCACAGGCGGAAGTAGTGCGTCCCTTATCTAGGGATTCCAGCGAAAAGCTAAAAGTGAAAATGTGCGCGATAAAGCCGCAAAATGATTTACAAAGCCCGCTCGCCAAGGAGAAAGGAGACAGACAGGCAGTCCGACGGACAGGCAGACAGACTCTGGGGGCAGGGCTAAAGCGCGGTTTTTGTATTGAAATTTATGGCAGCGGCAATAAATCCCAATATGCCCACAGGTAGACACATGTGCGAATGATGCATGTTGGCAAATACCAGGGTCCCAACCAGGGAGCAGAAGCAGGAAAGGATTCAACATACCTTCCCCCAACAGGTGCTTGTCAGAGAACAAAGGCATTCATAATTTTAGGGAGTGTGTTTGATTATAAATATTATTATATATATTTTTTAAAACCACATCGCAGCCACAACTTCCCTTTTGAAATTCAGTTTCAGTTTTAAACCACATATGCCAGGATATAGTAGGGCTGTCAGGACAAAGGCATCCAACCGAATGACAGACTGACGGAGCGACTGACTCAGTGATTGAATGAATGAGTGGGCGCGGCTGTGCGATCTGCCCAATTTGACATTGATTGGGTTATATGTGATTTACATGGGCCGGGGCTCGGTCTTTGTTGGAACACGGGATGAATGGAAAAAGTAACGAGGTAGCCATATCAGCTCTGTGGCATTTCAATAATAAGCCCAGGGATTAGAGCCCGATTGACTGGCAAATAGATTTCACTGAAAAGGTCTATATAAAGCATATTGTTTCGGGAAATCGCTTATCTCGTGAACTGTCAAAATTCAAATTATAACTAATTTCATAAGTTCACCAGCCCACGACAAGTACTCAGTCTTCCAGGTGGGCTGAGCCTACTCACATAGGGGAACATAAATCATTTTCCAGGACTTTAAAGCAAGAGGTGGGGGACCAGTGGGACAGGTAGGGGATTGAACCCGCACACGACCCATGCAAGGCCGTAAAAGAAGGCCAAGACCCACGGCCCAAAAAAGGAAGTTGGCCGTAAATAAATAATGAACCAAGAGTAAATTGCAAAACTGCCAAGAAAACGGGGTAAGTGGGGGGGCGGGTACAAAGCCAAAGGATCCGGGACTAAACGAAAAGAAAGACTCATCCAAAGGTAGCGGCAAAATATAAATATAAATGTACTAATTAATTAACAAGTCGCTTATAAATTTTGCTTTTGAACAGACATCGCTTCGTCTTGTTGGCACTTTTGTGCATTCCCTACATTTCTAGGACACTGTGAAAAATAATGTTGACTATCTTACAAACAATTCATGCCAAGGATTAGGGGCTATCATAAAGTTTCCTTAAGAAAACAATTGGGTTCTGATTTGCCAGCAAAGTAACCTTCATATTTTTCAGTAATTACACGAGTTTAGCATTCAGCTCCTTCCTTTCTGTCCTCGTACTTGTTCTTGAGCGAGTGGGTGGACTTTTGAGGACTCTTGTGGGGGTCATGGGAGTGGGATGGTGGGGTTCACCTGGCAGTTTGCTCGGCTAATTGCGGACTAACCGAGAACGAGGCGCCTTTATAGCAATTTTGTGGCTGCCGTCCAACAAAGACAAAGCCTCCTGTCGCCTCCTGCCCCGAGTCCCTCTTTGATCCTAGCCTGGAACTGTCAGCACGTGCTTGTGGTCAGGATTTGCGGGAGAACCGCAAAATAGCACCCGACCACTACCTTAAGCCGCTCAATTAATAACCCAAAAAGCCAGAGAATCCGTAGAAGCCGGGGAAGCTGGGAAGGCTGGGGTGGCTGGCAAGATGAATGTCGGACGTGGGGCCCGAGCTTTGATTTATTTATGAGGCCCAAACACACGGGGTCCTGACTTGCTAATGAATGTTTTATGGCTAGTTTGGGTGTCATTAGTCGGGTCAGAGAGCGGGTCAGAAGGTGCTCATATAATTGAGCCACGTTACCAGGGGACCTAGAATAGAATAGCATATGTTATTTTATGTGTAAGAAGTTGATGCATTTCTTGACCCTCGGATACCTGTTTTACTCGGCAGCCGGAGCAATGGACATTGTCATACGTGAGGAGGACATTTCCCTGGCCCAGATTGGCGTCTACGCCTCGGTGTCCTTTCTGGTGGTCTCTGCAGTGGGGGCCGCCCTCTACACCACCTGCTCGAAGCGCTACCGCCTGAACTGGTTCGAGCAGAATCTCTTGGAGTCGGCCAACGAAAAGGACGAGGACCAACAGAGGTGAGTCAATGCGAACTTTGTTTCGCCAAACCTAATTAAATTTCATTTACGAAACAATTAATCAAGGCATGCAAAATCTGCCCCCAAAGACTCATTAATCACTTGCGTTTAAAAATGTTTGCGCGACAAGTTCAATGGCCAATTTTTTCAAATAAATCTTGGGGTGTCAGAAAAATATTCATTCAGAAAGAGTATCTTTTTTTGTTTCCAGTACATTTCCATTTATTTTGTATAATTTGGGAGACAACCGGAGTATTAAATATACCTTGTAGGTACAAGCACACATTCGGGAACACTCAGGGTAATGCAATTTGCCCTTCCCCAGCGATCGGGGGAAAAATAAGTGTGTTTTTCTTTCTGAAAATGGCAAGCTTGTGTAAAATAATTCGAAAATGTTTGGCAACTTCAAGTGGGCCTTTTCGAGCACCCTCGTTGCCCCTAAATTGTACACAATAACAACCTGCTATGCTATGTGTTCTCCCCTTTCCTTTCCAGCAGGGAGGCTCTGGTTGCCGGTGCCGTGGGCTACAATGTGGACAACGTGAACGAGGTGCCGCGTGGGAAATTCGGGCCTGGAAACGGCGGAAACCTCAGTCCCACCTCCCTCAAGAGCGAGGACAACGACCCGGCCTTCTGGGTACCGGCCTCGGTCACCTCCACCTCGGCCATCCAGCAACAGGTGTCGAACACCACCGAAGAGTCCGCCCCACCCACACCCACCTCGCCCACCGGCAGCCTCAAGTCGAACACTCTCTCCTACTGCTCAACCGCCTCGGTTCCCATTGCCCGATCCGACAAGCATGTAGTCCTGGCCATGCACCCGGGTCGTCCGCGAGTGTCCTCGATGAATGCCAAACTGGATCACACCAAAATCGATATGACCCTGTACAGGAGCGTAAGTAAGGGAGCTTCGATAAGAGGTCTGAGATTAAAAGATTCCTTTCCAGCACTCCCAGCCAAAGACCATAAACCCTGTGACCATCAATGAAGTTAGGGGCGATCTCCACGTGAGTATTGGCTACGACCCCGTAGGAGGTCTTCTAAATGTTAGGTTATTGGAGGCCCAGAACCTACAGCCCAGGCAGTTTAGTGGCACTGCAGATCCCTATGCCAAGGTCCGACTTCTGCCCGACAAGAAGAACTTTTGGCAAACGCGCATTCACAAGAAGACTCTGAATCCAGGTAGGTTTTATCCTTGAAGTTATGAAATTAGGACTCACAAAGGACCTTCTCTTAGTATTCGATGAGCAGTTTGTTTTCGAGGTTACCGCCGGAGTTGTAGACAAGCGAACTGTGGAAATCCTACTCTACGATTTCGACGCCTATTCCCGACACGTTTGCATTGGGGGAAGCAAAATCCACCTGGCCAACCTGGACTTGAGTGAGCAGGTGAAGCTATGGACGCCGTTGAGCTCCGCTTCGGCCCAGGACATGAAGGTGGACCTCGGCGATATAATGGTGTCTCTGGCTTACTTGCCTTCGGCAGAACGGTTGATGGTGGTGCTGATCAAGGCCCGGAACCTCAGGATTGTGGACGATGCCCGAAACTCATCAGATCCGTATGTAAAGGTGACTCTCCTAGGACCCGGAGGTAAGAAGATGAAGAAGCGCAAGACAGGCGTTCAGAGAGGAACCTTGAATCCGGTTTACAATGAAGCACTGGCCTTCGATGTGGGAAAGGAAACACTGAAGAATTGTGTCCTGGAGTTTTCTGTAGTCCACGATGGTTTATTGGGTGAGTTGTGATGGAAATATTTAAGTTTTTAGATTAATTTTCTGTTAAAACACTCTATTTCTGCAGGTTCAAGTGAGATTTTGGGACGCGCCATCATTGGAAATTCACCGGAAGTGCGCACCGAGGAGAAAATATTTTTCGAGGAAATTTTCCGGGCCAAGAACGCAACAGCTCAATGGGTTCCACTCCAAGAGCCCGCAACCAACTTGGCCACTACAGCCAAGTCCACAACCAGCCGGAACTAGCTTCCACAGTTGTCGGCGGCGCTTGGTTCTTGTCTCAAATAACATGGCGGTGGAGGGTGTCTTGGCCAAATGAAAAATACGGTTACGCGAAATACCTGATGTAGAAATTGGTAAAAGAATTACCACATATATGTATTGGCGGATATAAATCCTTTTGAACAAATCAGAATAGTAAGCCGAGTATGAGGATATCAAAATCATAAACAGTTCACAACATAACTCAGTATTCGGCATCGTACTTGAAAAAAACCTCATTCACTCATATACTGGAATAAGGGAACTTGCAGGGATAAGTTTTAAGCTGGAAGGATCGAGGGAGAATGAAACCCAAAGAAAACAAACTACTTGAAACAACTTGAATATCACAGTGAATGTGCTTTGTATTGCATCAATTAATCAGAAATATATATATTTATTATTCCCTATATGTGTCAAAATGTCAAGAAGTACCTAAAACACAAATACCTACTGAGAAGATGAACAAATCAATTATAATGTTAATTTAATAATTTTTGTAGGCGAAGGTTTCAGGGCAAAGCGGGCACAACACAGAAGCATTCTATTTAACTTTTGGCTTGGAAAACATGTATAACTGTGCACAGCAACGTAGAAGTAATTTTTACCAAATAAAGCTATTCTTATATTAATATTATATCCCCTATAAGTAGAAAATGATGATTGTGTCTATATAGTAGATCTGTAGTTAAACGCACTATGTATTCTATATTCGCATACCAACTGTATTAACTATATGCTAAATATGTATCCATGTCAAATAAAGCCCTTAGAGATCTTTGACTTTAAATTTGAATCCTCAAACGAAAGGTTAATTGCCAAACTTTCTCTTGGCCAACTAGTTGTTGCCTGAAATTAATCACGAGGTCGGACTTCAAACGCTTCATGTTTTTCAGTTTCCATTGACCGAAACCAAAAGAATTCCTTCTTTTTAAATACTTCGGAAAGAGCGAGAAACTAGAACAGTGGGGGAGAAACCTTTTGGAAAACCCGTTGCCTTATTTTCCAAAATTGACTGATAACTCGGCCAGGAGATGCGACGAGCCACGGTACATTGGATGTTAAAGCAGCCATAGTGGCTGGACCTGCCCCCTGGTGCTGAAACTAAAAACGGAAAACTGTTGCGGTGTCCTGTCTGTGTCTATATAAGTTCCCCGTAAATTTCCTTTTCAATCAAAATGTGCTTTCATTCAATTTAAAAGGCATCGACGAGTTTAAGTAGCCGCAGTCGGGCAGGAGAAGGCGTTGGAAAAGAAGGGAACTTTGAACTAGTGCCAGAAATTGTTGGCGCCAAAGAAAAGTTAACATGCTCAAGGGGGTGCGCACTGAAAAATATTAAAGAGGACTTTTATAATTATCATAAAACTATTTAAAAATTATCATTGCCTAGATAATAACTTAACTTACAAGATAGTATTCAAAAGCAGCCTTCGTTAGAAGTTTTTCTTAGATTTTAGTGTATTTTATTATATAGTGTATTAGATTATAGTCTTAGTGTACTGATAAGCTGGTAAAAGGTACCGGATACATTCTTATGGAATTTCAGCCAAGTCCATGGGAGCATTACAAAGTGACCCAGGAAGGCGAGTGCAAAGTGAACTGACCGATAGTGGGTTGAAAATTGATTCAAAGATAGTGGAATAGGCAAATTATTTGCTTGGGATTTTCCTTGCTTCGTTTTCCTTTCTCACACCACTTTTCTTTGTTGTAGGAAAGGTCCTTACGGTTGCGGCCAAGGTCGTTATTGGAGTGGGAAGATTTCCGATTTAACACATCATAGTCATAGCCTACTCATTCCTTAATTTAAGCAATAAATCACCAATGTCAGTTCTTTATTCACGTTTAATTGCTTAATCAATTGCCATAAAAGGCAATTAACAGTCAGAATATCACAAAATGAATTTTCTGTAGCATACTTTTATGATGATGTACATTTTCCGCTCATTGATGGAGTCTGCCTCCCGATTTCATCCATTTTTCACCACTTTCGCATTGGCTGAGATGCCTCTGGAACGGCAGCTATCAATTTTTCACCGATAATGCCTCGCATCAAAGTCAGTTGGCAATAAACTGGAAATGCGACTAACGAGTAAATTCCATTTTTAATTTCGACTCACTCTTTGTCTATCCCAACGCCATTTTGTCTCTGCATCATCTGACTTTTTTATTTCCCACTGCATCCGTAGCTCTCTCCACCTCCCCGCCTCGCCGCATCACCACCCAGCACTTTTCCGGGCTCTGGCCAGTCTCAAAAGCTTGTCAGCGGAAAACGTAAACTAACGACATTTTCGTTTTCTTATTTACACAATCAATTTCGTGCTTTTGTGATACTCGGGCGGAGGCAAGCGAGAATGTTGAAATGAAGAGCAGTGCGAATCCTACTGCAAGTGCTCCTTGCACATCCTTCTTGTATGGCGACATTGCGTGTGTATCACATCCTCGCTTTGCCCCCAGACTTTCCGTTCTGGTGGCTCTTGGAAGGGGTATTTGCATCTCGGGATCGCATAGGAAAGTCTGCGGTAATTCTAGATAAATATTTTAGGCAATGGTAAATATTGATTTTGCAGCTTACTTGCTTGGCAGTTTTGCTTACCGTAATTCCTGCAAAAATTAGAGGGTTTGAGTTGTGAAAATGTGAAAACTTAGAGATCAATGGCACCTACTTCATGAATTTCCCCACACCTCATGGAGATAAAGGTTAGAAAGCTTCTTGCTTTTTATAAAATAAGTAAGACTTCTCCTCAAGAAAAAACAAAATAATAGGAATGTGCCCTCATCTAAAAAATCATCTGATCCTTTTATAATTCGGATTAGTTTTTGCAGATTAATCAAGATACAAAAATATGGTTTAATTTATATTCTAATCCATTAATTTTTACACTCCAACTAAGTTTCTATTCCGATATTTTTTTCTTTTTTCCAACTTATTTTTGTCTTTTTTTAAACGTTTGAAACTATATTTCACTTAAGGTAAATTTGACTAAGGTTAGAGATCATGAAAGTAACTAAAACTCCACTACAATGACCTTATAAATTGTTTAATTTAAACTCAGAGTATCCACCAATTCGACTAGCCAATTTTTAGCAATCCTTTTCGGGAGCTACCTCCACTGTATCGTTAAGTTGCTATAGCCGAAGCTATATAGGAGCCGGAGCTGGAGCAGGAGCAGTAGCCGTTGCCGTTGCCATACCAGCGAGGATGGCAATGGTGTTGCAGTCGGTGGAGCTGTAGTTGCTGCGCTGCCATTTGTGCCGCGAGGGAAATTGTCGTCAAAGCGGAAAAAATGTCACATTGTTGTTTTAGCCATCATGGAGATGGAGACGGCGGAGTTCGGCGGGCAGCGGGACAGGATTGCAGAACGGATGGGATTGGCATAGGAGCTACTACCAAACTACTTGCCACACGTTGCATGTGTGCTGCAGTGGCAGTAGCGATGGCAGTAATAGTTCTAGTTTCGTTTCGCTTTCTTTTCGCCGCCTCCATTTGCCCCTCCCCCTTAGTCTCCACCACCCCCTCTGCCATTTTATCCTTTCAGTTTTTGTCCTTTCTTTTGATGTTGACCGCATTCGTTGGCTCGTTTCGCTGGCTGAGTTCGCTTTTTGGGGCTGCCTTTATTGTTTATGCAACTGTCAGCAGTTTTCGCTTCTCGTTCGCCCCAAGTTTTCCCAGCACCGCCTACCTCCTCCATAGATATCCCTCCCCCCCGGCGGATTTTTCTCCCAATATATCAGTGTTTTCGGTCGCTAGTGTGTGTGTGTTTGAGGAGGTGTTTGCTTTGTATCTCTCTGCGACTTCCATATTTGTTGTCATTTCGAATTGTTTCAATGACTTTTGACAGGGAGCAGATTAGCTCGGCGACGCCTCCCGCAGAGTTCCCAGCCTCCAGCTCCCATCAGTATTGTTTTCCTCCCCCCGGCGAGTGTCCGGGGAAATCAGAGGTGTGTATATTTTTGGATCATTCTCCATTCCCAATCGACAAAAAGTTCAACGGTTTCGGATTCAATAGATTTTCTGAGATTATCCGCAAATTGTTTTTCTTTGTCTTAAGTTGATGGAAGCGAGCTGTTGGGTGCTTGATAATTTTTTAAGGTTCTGGCGGACAATAAAAAAACAATATGTGACACCTGAGGGACCTGACACCTTATTAGAGTTATTATTTCGTCTTCAGTGCAATGAACTGACTGAAATATTTTCTAATTGAGATATAGATTATTTTTTATAGGGAATGTTTTCCAATATAGAGCTCTTTCATTCCCAAATTAATATCAAAAGCAACATGCAGCAGTCATCAATTTTTCACTTACCCGTAGGGGACCTCTGTTGTCCGGGCATCCAATTATAAAAAAGCCATTTTGTATGTCAACAAAGTGCATCCCAAACCAACTAAAAAGCCAAAATAGAAAATTAATTAAATTATTTTTGGCTAAGCAATGTCGCATCTGGCGGTGGGTCGCTGCTCATGAATATACGAAATTTATGGTAGCCGCTACAGAGCGCAGGATAAAGCCACTCCAAGACTGGAGGAGGAGGTGGCCAACTAAAACAACGTCCCCAACGGGCCTGACGGCCAACCGAAATTTCAGCCACCCAATCAGCATATTTAAATTGTGTTGTGTTTGGTGATCGAAATGCATGAAGTACGACAACGTAAATAGGACAACGCACCACTAGTTAGAAGGACACCGCAGCCGCAGCAGCACACAGATCGAACCGGAGGAAGGACACATTGGCAAACATGAATTTTTACCATGTCGGTGACTCTGCGGCTGTGGCTTTTCGTTGCCCCTATCCCCGGGCTCCATGCTCCATGCCCCTTTTCACCCGAACACCTTCTGTCCTGTCCCGCATTTACTGCCCCACGATGCTCCCGCTGGCGACAACATCCACACTTTAATGGCCCCACACAACGCTCTGGGTAAGGTTGCCATTCCCATGCACTGAGCTAAAATCTCCAAAGGAAGTCGAACCCATTGCATATCCTGCTGCCAGCTTAAAACTTTTGTGGTCCTTTGATGCAAATTTCTTTGCCATTTGCGTGTTTAGATATTCAGTCGAGCTGAGAACAGCATACAGTATCCGATTTTCTCAAAGTGCACCCACACCCATTCCGGTTTCGAAAGCCATTGCTATTCCGATTTCGATTCCGATTCCGATTCGCCGTCGTCATAGATCGATGCTGGTCAGCAGTTTCGTTTTGATTGTGCGATTTTCTACTTTGCTGTGCATTTTTCCCTCCATTCATGCCATTCTGCTCCCTTTTCCGCTTTTTTCATACCCAGCAGCTGCCGTTATACTCCTTTTTTTCCAGCAGTGTACTCGTCCGTCCGGTATTTTCAGTGGTCAGCCGCTGTAGAACTCTAATTGCTGGCCAGCGCCAACACATGCGAAGGTGGCCGCGGCCTATCCATTTTTTAGATCCACACAAATCGCTCGAATATTGTTTTTCGGTTTTCCCTTTTTTTTGCTCCAATCCGTTGCGGGGGAGCTGGACAACGCTGTTAAATATAAGTCGCAACAAGAAGTCCGGCCTGCACTTAAAGCCATTCAATTTTAATTGGAATTTAGCCGAAGAGCCGTAAATATTATTGTCGTGGTCCGGAAGCAAATCTGGCTATTACGACAGGGCCGCACGTATTCAATTCCGATCAAGCTGCAGTGTCCTAGCGCAGATATTGGAGTTTCGAGTAGCTTATATGGAGGGAGAATTGCCGCGAAAATGGCACTGGACGGGATGTGATTGAGTGAAGGACACCACGCGGGTATTACGTGAGTGGTGTACTATCATTCCG